AGCTAAGTTTCCTTCACACAGAGAAGTGCCATTAAGATTCATATCAAGAACCTAATAAAAATATCAGCGCATTCAACTTGTCCTTTCTAGACCCCCACATTTATTTTTTACAGAAAACAAAACATGAAAGATAAGTTGAACTTGCTAGTTTCTTTCTGTATTTGACAGTTTATGGGTATGTTTTGTAGATGAGTAGGGGTAAATGTGGCTTAAAATAAGATAAATGTCAAGTTACTTAAGAAGGCTATCTTAATGGAAGAGAGGCTATTATGTATATCAGAGCACTCAGGGCTGAATTTCCATAATATTTATTTATTGTAATATCAACAGATACTCAGCGCACTCCATGTGCTACACCCTTTCCTTCCCAATGTACATTTGGTCTGAAATAACTGCCTTGCTTAACTTCCTTTGCCAGTTGAGTCAGAAAGGAAAAGAAAGGAAGAAAGAAATGGAAGGGTAGGCACAAGCGGTGGTATTTTGAGAAGCTGCAACATACAAATCTATGTTGTCTCCCTGCCGCTACATCCCCCAACACCTAACGTAGTCCTGGTACATAATGACGCTCAGTAAATGATGGATCAATCAGTAAATTGATTATTTTATATTTAAATAGTAACTTTTGGTTTTGCCCTCAAACGTATTTCAGAGAAAGTGCCCACTGCTACAAGAGGAAAGCACTGTCATTTTCAGTTGAAGTATCAGAAGCCTTTAACCGATGGCCTAATTTCTGTCTCAATTCCTGGTCAAAGCAGTCTAAGGCTTGGCGGCACCCTCTCTCATATGGATACGACACTGGGTTAGAGCCAAACACCACAGAAGCCGAGACACCCACGCCCCCCACAAGCTGTCACTGTTTGGAAATGTTGATTACATGGGATTCATGGCAAAGATAATTCTGGGGCAGATTTTAACTAGCCCATCCAACTCAATTTCTATTAAAGCTATGTCTACGTAAACTGAATCCAGAAGGCCATTTAAACCCAGAGAATGAATCAGCATCTGAAATATGCATACATCGGAGGGAAATATGGGCGTTGTGTCTCCTGTTTTGTCCAAACCACGCTTCAGTCTTCATGTACTAGGGCGGGGCTGCCCGATGGTAGAGGGGCTGGTTTTGCTGAAAGGCAGGTTCAAGCCCTCACTTTGAGGGTTAGCTGTACAGTTTAGCCATTTAAAATGTCAAGTCAAACTCCAAGATGGCAAAATATTCGCTCTCACTATAAAAACAACTTGCAGTCACAGTTTCTTCCTGATTGTGTGTCCTTTTGGCCATTAACTCTGGGTATAAAGTTTTGTGGGGGTGAACATTTCATTATGTTTATGTTTCATGTTTGGGACATTATATTGATCTATTTCCAGAACAAATTTAAACTGACTTCAGAGATTCCATGTACCTTTTTTTTTTTTTTAAATGACCATGGAAGATCATCTTAAAGGATATTTTTCAGGAAATTTTAGACTAATTTATTTCTCATATGGAAAGTGGATCTTCAGCAGGAACACATTTTTCCAATGTCATAATCACTTGCTCCATGGAAATAAAATGCACAACATTTCTTCATGAGTCATGTATGTAATATGTTAGCACAGCTCCTACACATGTGCTAAGCAATGCGATCACCTATTAGCCTGTCTTAACACTTAGATGAAAGGATGAAGGTTATAATTCATCATACAGAATCTAATTGTTTAACGGCTGAAAGAATTAGAGAGAGAGAGAGAGATTGCCCTGTCAATTACAAGACAGAGCTTGAAGGTTAAAGAACACAATTTCAATCTAGTCCTTGCAGGACTGAAACCAAATTAAAATGCAGAATATTCACAGCTTCCATTTCTGGAGACTATTTACATCTTCAATGTTTCCTAGACCTGCAAGGAAGCCTGGCATGTAAAAACCTGAAAATGATTTCCAATAGGAAATACATGATATTTTGCTTTTTACATGTCATGGCTCGTATTATGTGTTTGTAGCTATTTTAACTTTTAAAGTTGTAAGTACTGAACGCACGTGGCTCACAGATTATACACTCAGACTAAGAGGACTCAGGCTAAAGCGCCACCGTCTCCTGTGCAGCTCTGCTCCCCAGACGCAGCTGCAGTTAAGGTTACCTTGAGGGCTTCACGGGGTTAAATCTTCTCTCTGAAACAGGCTTATTTTCCCACTATTTTTAAAATCAGTTTTATCGACTGTTTACTGACTTTCTGTCCATAAAATGAGGATTTAGGTCACTTAACCAAAGCCAGTGTCTTTCTCGTCTCCTCGTGATACGCTTATGATGAGCCACTGCTGGACCCTTATCTTTGTAACTTCAAGCCTCATAGGGAAGTCGTGATTATTTTTCATCAACTACAGGGAAACTCTCTTCACTTTTTTAAATGTGAGCTGCTGACACCCTGTCTTTCCTTCATTTCTCCTCCCAATTTTTAACTCTCTCACAGTGTGACCTCAACCGACCTGCCACCGTGGTTGGAAACATCTTGCCTTTTCTACAGTCACAGAGCAGATGAAACATCTGGTTTCTGTGATTAGTTGGGGGCTGACTCTACAAGTTAAGCATTTGTGTTGTTGTCCCCATGTGCACGTTGTCCCTTCAGAGCTGAGTGGTGGACTCGGATATTTTCCAAGGTCTCAGCATCTGTGTCATTCCAAGGGGGATGTGACTCGGGCCAAGTTCCAATGAATCCCCCTTTGGTGTCCTTCAGTAAGTGCCTTCGCCATACGCAGCCTTGCCGGGAGGGTTTCATACCGCATTCCCAAGCTCAGTCCCTCTCCTCGAGGGACCGCCCTCCTGGAGGGGCGTCTGTTTCTTCTGTACTAACTGCCCACAAGACCTGCACAGCTGTTGTTCAGACACAACAAGGCGCTGCTCCGCAGGCCTGTGTCTCACCCTGTCTTAGTTCATGTGCTCATTTTGCTGCAATATATTCCAAGTAACTTCGTAAGAAAGAGTGTACCGCAGGCAAACTTTGGAAAGTTTGCGTGACAGGGAATAATTGATTCTCTCTCCCTCTGATCTTCCCCCTGATTATAAAGGCGCTGATGACCGCCTTCCAGCTCACACACTGATGGCGGGGAGCCCGACCTCTGCTTCACTCCTACCCCCTTGCATGCAGCCACTCGCACTCTTTCTCTGAAAAGTTCCAATTTCTTTACGGTTAATCCTCTAAAATTTCACACTAATTTTGTTTTGTTTTGTTTTGTTTAATTTTATTTTAGTTTATTTTTTCAAATACATTTGTCTCTGCCTCCCCCCCACCACTTTCCCTTGCCCCCTTCCTCCTTCCCTCCCTCAGCTCTTCCCCTTTGGCTTTGTCCATGAGTCCTTGCTATATGTTCCTTGACTTTCTCCTTCCCTTCCTTTTCCCCGCCCCCCCCCTCCTTCCCTCTTGTCTCTGTTGATTTCTTTTCCTTTCAGTGTTGCTGGTCTTATTTTCCTTGCATCTTTTCTTCATTCATTATGGTATGCCCTTTTAATCTGAACATTTAGGTTTTGAAACCAGGAAAATTCCTTAGCATCTTATACCAGAGTTACTTGGCATATCTTACCTGCCAAGTTTGTTATTTTTATTTTGTCGAATGTATTATTCACATCTAAGGAAAAAGAAAATACACATTTTGCTTTATGGTGATTATCAGGGGGCGGATGTCTTCCTATTTTTTTCAATATACTTGAGTTTTCATGCACTTACCATCTGTGAATTATTACTTTCACCCAAGTATTCAGAGAATATTCTCAACTTTGCAGATATCATTGAAGTAATAGTACAAAGTACAATGTTATCATTCGTCATCTTCCTAATGGCACAACTTAGTTTTCGGCCAGTTACAAATTAATCACACAAGGAAGCTCCAAGCTGGAGTCAGCTGTGTTCTTGATTTGCTTTGGAGATCTATTCTTTCTCTTATAAACACACAGGAACAAACAGGAATGAACCAGAAATGTATCAATTCAAAGGACAGGCAAAGGATAATGGAAGGAACATGGAACAAAAAGGACAAAAAAAAAAATTAAAATAATAAAAAAAAACCAGAAAGGAAAAAAAGGTATAAATGGATAGGAAAGAATATTCCTTGGTTTAGACCACAGGTCAGCCTCTACAGGCACTCATATTGCTTTTCACAGTGGGTATAATCCATCACTTTTAAATTTCACTGTTTAAAAATCTCACAAAATGCCTGGGTTTCTGTTTCGTTTCGGTTTTGACATTTTTGCAGCCCAGGATTTTCCTAAAATCTTATTTGATAAAAATAACACAATTTTTAATGACGCCATTAGTTTCCATCAGGTCTGTTGCATCGATGGATATGCTTTATCTTTCATATCATGTGACGGGGCAGGGCCTGTGTTCAGGGGGCTCTTTTCCTTGGCCCTCAGGCTCCATCAGGCCCTGCTATCTGCACTAGGCATGTTTGCACTTCAAAACTCCCTCCCTCTCAGGCCAACTGTGGCCAGATTTCCATTGTCATAGTCTACAGTCTTCACGGCAGCTGCAGGCTCATCAGCACAAACTGAAAGCCCGCTTCCAGCGCTGTTTCTGCCTGGTAAAAGTTGTGCAAAATCTTGCAGCCCAGGGGCGGGGGAGGGGAGGAGCTTCCAGGGAGGTGAATGGGTTCCTCATCAACCAATTTAATTTCCCTGCTTCTTAGAAGATAGAGTTGTTCTTTCTTATTTTTAATTTCAGTGGGGGGTGGCGGATGGGGGCCAAAGGGGTGGGGAATGGGGAACATCTGTAATAGTGTCAACAACACAAATAAATAAATAAAAATAAACTCCATATTTTAGACTGAAAGTATTGAAAAAGCACCTCTTTACAGTTCAAATTATACCTAAATGCATGACTTCCAACATGAATGATCATTCATTCAGAGTACGTGATGTTAGTCCCATGATTTAGGACCCGGGGTTTTTTGTTTGTTCGTTTGCTCTTGGGGTGAGTGTGCGTGTTGGGATCATTGCCCGTGGCCTCCTAACGTGTTTACACTTCTCTAACTTCAGCATGTGGCAAACTGATGAAGATCACAGGCCCGATGACCATCAAGACATCTGGAACCCGATTTGGTGCCTGGATGACCGATCCTTTAGCATCGGAAAAAAATAACCGAGTAGGTCGCCTCCACAAACACCTTTGCTGAGAATGATGTTTTGTGTATACCTTTTGTCTACTGGGCTGCTCATTTTCCTTAGGGATATAGTTTTTAAACAGAAAACTGTTACATCACCACAAATATCTTCAGTTTGTTAATGTTACCATAGTTACAGATATGTGGCAAACATTTTCATAAAATGGTCCATCCTGTAATTCACCCATATAGGGAGTCTAATTTTTATTTATATTAGTCTTTACACTATTAGGGGCTAATTACAAGAATACAAAATCCTCTATATATTTCTACTAAAACCTGCTCCTTCATGTAAAAAAAAAGAAAAATCCAAAAAACAAATAAGTGGAAAAACCCAAGAGCTAACCAATTCAATAAACCAGGTTAAATACCCTGGAGTCTAGGGGTAATTTTAAAGGAAGCAACAATGAAACTTTGGGGGTGGGATATTTTCATAAATTGGCAATGTCTGTATTATGTAAATCAACATGCTGGACCCTTACCACAGCTCGATTTATGTTCTGTTGTAGAGCTCGGTACACTGAGATTCTCAAGGGTTCCATCCAAATGAGATTAGCATAGCTGGTTAGTAAAACGATTGCATTAAAATGTAATTGTACCTATACGCTGGTCCAATGAACAAGTGTTAGTTACTAGAAGGTTCTGTGGTGTCCATAAAGGAGAAATCAGTTAAATAGTATAAAGTTAGACCATATACTTTTCAGAGCAAGTTACAGAATAAGTAAATTTGCTGAAGGCCGTATTTTTTGCAGTTATTGATCGCACTGATCTATCAGGCAAACAAACAAAGTGACATCATTCGCACTGATACATGTCTGGTTCACTCAGTCATATGCACTGAGTGCTCAAAAGAAGGACAAAAAGCAAATCAATGCCAAAGCAGTAAATTCAGTCGTTTCCTTTCCACATGGACCATACCACCGCTATTTGTGCAAAAGCCTTCAGTAACATCAGCGGTAAGACGATGTAGCTTCCGGAGCCTGAGCATAGCTACACGAATAAGCGTTGACTCTGTCTTTATTTTGGAATTCTCAGGAAAGTACATAATTCACGGACTCCGTTATTGTTTTTTTTTTCCCTTCTTCCCAGGTCTGGTACATGGATAGTTACACCAACAACAAAATTGTCCGTGAGTACAAATCAATGGCGGACTTTGTCAGTGGGGCGGAGTCAAGGACATACAACCTCCCTTTCAAGTGGGCAGGAACTAACCACGTGGTCTACAACGGCTCGCTCTATTTCAACAAGTATCAGAGTAATATCATCATCAAGTACAGCTTTGACCTGGGCCGAGTGCTCGCCCAGCGAAGCCTGGAGTACGCCGGCTTTCAAAACGTCTACCCCTACACGTGGGGGGGCTTCTCCGACATCGACCTCATGGCCGACGAAATCGGGCTGTGGGCCGTGTATGCGACTAACCAGAACGCGGGCAACATTGTCATCAGTCAGCTGAACCAAGACACCCTGGAGGTGACGAAGAGCTGGAACACCGGCTACCCCAAGCGGAGTGCAGGGGAGTCCTTCATGATCTGCGGGACGCTGTACGTCACCAACTCCCACTTAACTGGAGCCAAAGTGTATTATTCCTATTCCACCAAAACCTCCACCTACGAGTACACGGACATTCCCTTCCACAACCAATACTTTCACATCTCCATGCTTGACTACAATGCCAGGGATAGAGCTCTTTACGCCTGGAACAATGGCCACCAGGTCCTGTTCAACGTCACCCTCTTCCACATCATTAAGACGGAGGATGACACATAAGCCGATGTCACTTGTTTTCATCGGTCTCAACGCTGTCATTTGTGATAAACTCTATAGGACCCCTCTTGTTTTTTTCCTTCGGTATAACTTTCCACCATTTCCCCAAAGCATTTTTATGATCAAGTTGGCGTTTCAAACAGTAGCGGAGCCTGTCTAAGTTAACCTGGTGGAAACACACCTAAACTCCTACATTCACAAGGCCTATCACGTCCTTGTCATGAAAAGCACTAAAAAGGCTTATGTGGCTAAAGTCGTAGTTTTGCAAAAGATTAATGGTCTGCCTTATATTAGAGTCAGAGACTAATGGTAGCTTAACTGCATGAATGTCTCTTTTTTTTGGTTTAACTCTGTCATTTTTTTTTTTTTTTACTGTCTAGCTCCACATCAGGAAACATTCTAGTTGGAATCAGAAAAAAAAAAGAAAAAGAAAAAGAAAAAACACGTTCTCCCTATTCATTTCTTTCAAAAGTAAGGGTTTTGTTTATATGGGAAAATAATATGAATCATTTTGCGGTTCCTCAATCTTCCAATGCGGTGCTCTTCAGTCATTTTTAAATCTCTTGCTAACATTTTATTGGCAATACGTCTTTCTACCATTGCAATCACCATTGTGCAATTGTGGCTCTTCACTTCTGTGAAAGTAATATTTTTAATAAAATACACTGAAGTTTAATCTCAGTAATTATTATGGATCAATTTTCCAGTGGGGTCAAGAAGGAAGTATCTTCTCACCTTACCCCATTACATAGTATTTATTATAAGCTAAAGAGAAAATCAAACCAGGTCCCTTACATAGAGTCTTTCTTTTACCCCATATTTTCTGACCCCCTGACACAGAATGTGAGACAGATTTAGCCCAGAGAATTCCTCTGTCCTCCCAGCTGAAGGCAACCCTCAGAGAGGCTTGCAAAGTTGCAGCTGAGTCACAAAAACCGGATTTGAGTTGACTGTGCTTCATACAGCCAAACAAAGTCTGTTCTTCCTTTAAAATATGAATGTGTTATCACACAACTTGCAAAACTAATGTAGTTCCTTGTGTCAGGACTCTAAAAGTACAGGAAGCACCTATGAAGAGTCTTAAACAAATTTCTGCAAAGTCACCTAGATTTACGTTATAAACTCTGGGGAGTTATTGGCAAGATTTGTCCAAAAGAAAATGATGGGAATCCTTGGGAGCTGTCTGGGTGGTTTAGATGTGCCAATAAGCAGTTTGGAAAGCAACTCCTGGTTTCCCTGATTCATAGTGTGTGCAGAAAAAAGGTAACCAAAAAAGACAGCTTTAATAACATTTTATGTTCATTATTCCAAAAACATATAATCAATATATTTCAAACACATCATTGAATTTGGATGTACTTTCCATATATTAAAAATACTTACCTAATGCAGTTTTACAGAAACGAGTATGGGTTGGTTTTATAATTTAAAAAGTAGAGAATATAATAAATAATATATAACTTAAATCGGTGTAAATGTTTTACACATACATCATATTGTAATTTCCTTTGTAAAGTAAGGCTGTAACAATTCAGATAAAGCATTGTGTAAAGAAATGCTAATACTTAAGAGTAATTCATTTCAGCTGTCACAGTAAAAACATCATCCTCAAATAGCTCACTGTCAAAAAGGTAGGAGTAAATAATCCAGTCTTGAAAACGTTCAAGTTTAGCAAAAATTGCGCTCTCTCTGTCTCTCTCTCGCCTCTTGGGTGCTGTTGCAATGTCGTCTCTCTTCTCTTTGAAAACATTCACCTAACTTCTCCTCTGCTCTTGAGCATTAGAAAATGTAGGGGACCCACTTGTCATTGTACGCACCACAAAATTCATCAGCCAATGCTGTGCATATCAAGAGTTTGTATGAAGAGCAGAAAGTCACCTTCAGAAATGAGTTTCTAAGTCGATGGCCTCCCATGAATAGCTGGATCGTCATTACTTGCTTTTTTTAAATGTCGTCGCGCCATGTACATTCAAAGCCGGATGCCGCCGCTTCTGTGAGATGTGCAGCTTGCAAAGCACTTCCTCGTCTCCCGTGTGAGGTTTCGTCGCCGTCTCGACTCGCGAGCCATGCTCCCCAGCGAGCCCTGACTTCATGCCCGTCACTGGAACTAGCGCCCTAGTAAAGTGTGACTTGCATTCAACAGTTACTGTTTAAAAGCGTTTTTCTTAATAAGTTATCAGTTTTGTGCCTGAAATAAAGAAGAACTTACTCTCATCACTGTGGTTTTTTTAAATCTCCAATAAAATAAATGTTATGAGGGAAATAAGGAGTATTTTAAACTCATCCACATCATCCAATCAGTACAGAAATCCAAGCTCAGAAAGTCTGAATCTCAAGTGAACTGTGTAACCGGTATTTTCAGAATTAGCCACATCGCTAGCAAACTCCCACGTCATCCAAATAATAATAGGATCGTGGTCTGATTGTGTTTGTGCTACCTTTGTATTTGTGGCACTTGAACCACAACACTTATTACCTGTGCCTGCACTTAGATCCAGGAGTTCAGAAAATATTAGTGCTTCAGCCCTTTACTAATACATAGAGATAAAAGATAAAATCATGACGGATGTCTATATGCAACATTACAAGTGATTAGACAAGATTTACCATAAACTCAGAATCTGTGGTTCCTAACGCCACATTCAAAGTCATTTCGTCTTTATTGTCCACAGTCTGTTCTCTCTGATCAAATCTGACCTTCATAAAACTCATTCTTGTTCCTAACAAAAAATGGTCTTTATCTGAAAATCACTACCAAACTTACAAGTACAAATTTTTCAAACAGAAGAATTATTTTAAAAATATAACTATATAAAATTGTACTCACATTCATCTAAAAACAAAACCAGTTTTTTTTCTGCAAAGTTAAGTTTTATAAACAATAATTCTTTAGCTTTATTGCCCTTTAAGAATAGATTAAAAAAAAAACCCAACTCTGGTCTCTTTAGCATTCAGGATAACCACATTTTTTTTTATAAATGCTAAATTTGAATACAATTAATAGAAAATTAAAAGTATCCCTTCAAGTTAGTACAAATATAAAAATATAGGCATTGCAGAATTTTTAAAACCCAATCTATCTAGAATATACTTTTGAAAACAGAATTAGGAATGGCTTCTTGCTGACTTGACGAGGTAGGTACGTTTTAGCCTTTACTAAGTGTACAACTTGAATTCCTATCAAGTCAAAGAACGGTTCTTTACACACAACGCGTACTTTGGCTCCTCTGTCCCCATGTGACATGCGGCCACGAGAAGAGCTACTACAGACAGGAGGCAGTAATTAGGATTTAGAAGCTAGAGGATAAAAAAGCCTTCATCCCTCACTACTCGCAGCTGGACACAGTTTTTCTAAAAGGGCGATTCCTTAGGCTGCATCCATCCCAAAAATCAAGCTGATGGAATAGTTTCTGGTTCTAAAATTAAGCAAACTCAGCATAAATCTCTTAGCCAATAATGTGTCACAGTCAGTGACTTTTCAGAGAGGGCCTGGAGCTTCATAAAATATGTTCCTTTGAATTGTTGGACTCGTACTAGAAAAAGGACAATGAAAACATTAGTTTATGGGAGGAAAACCGACTTAATCAAAATCTTTTATTTTTCCATGAAATAGTGAATGCAATTGATAGCAGTCCCTTGAATTATAAAACTGTTACACTGTTTAGCGAATCAGAGAGAAATCCTACCCAATTCACTTTACCAAGCTGATTTCTCTGACTCACATCTAAAATCATGTTACACAGTTTATCTCTGTTGGCTGAACTATTCCATCTGGCTTACGGAAATTTTAATCATATTTGGAACCTGCCTTGTCTCCAAAATGTCAAACTGGTTGGCGAAAAACTTATCCCCTTGGAAGCTCAGTTTGTCGATTGCCAAGTAAGTGTTATAAGTCTAAATTGTTATTAGGCATGACTTGCAAATAATATAAAAGGAGGACAGAAAGTGTTACTTTGCCAAGAGCATCTCGTACCTTTTGCAAGTATAACCAACTGAAAAAATGACTCCTAATGAGAGATGTGAGGCTCTAGGGGGACCGTGGGAGACTTCTCAGGAGCATCTTTGTGCTGCAAGGCGTTTGCTGGTGAACCACACACACATTCGCAGCCAAGGAGCACGCTGCATCCCTACCAAAGTATCCCCTTCCCAGAACAGCTTGCACCCATTAAAAAATATTGCCGTAATAGATCTTTCCCTACCACAAACCACTTGAAAATATCGCGTATCATCAGACACATTTCCAGAAACTATTATGTGACAAAGGTCTTGAAATTAGAGCAAGGAATGAGCTGACTAAAAGAAGGTGTGGCCATTTAAAACTTAAGCATGTTGTAGAAACGTATCACACTGTTGAACTGAATCGTGAGTATCCAGCCAGCTCCTTCTCTATGCCATTGTTGACTTCACAGGAATTCATTATGTTACCAATGTGCAGCTCATGAGCTTTCCAACTAGTTAAAAACAGCATTATTTATTCATTTACTTGAAAAAAATCCCTGAGCAAAACTATGAGCCAGACAATTTCTGGCTATAGCAGTCTGCAGAGAAATAATATCGTCATGTACTAACAGCCCAGTGAGTACAGGCTGCAACAGAAATATTACTTGAAAATAAGTTCTGACTGTGCTCACCGGTGTAAAGAAAATAAACGAGTCTATGTCAAGAGTGATCGGATATTTGCTAGGGCTGGGGCGGGGGGAAACATGACGTTAGGAGGGATAGTCAAGGGGTGCCTCCCTAAATGAAAACTTTGACCTCTTCCTTTCTGTTCCTAGAAACCCATGGATCAGATCGTCCTTAATATTGCCCTATTGTGGAAGTGGTGTTTTTTTAACTTGGAGCTCAGGACGCACTTCTCGGGGGCTGCACCCTGACCATATGCTAATATGGTGTGACATGTGGTCACACTTTCCTCTGTCCAGGGGATTTACAGCTTCCATCACACTCTCAAAGAGAGCCAGGGCCCCAAGATCACCCCTGGGTCCGTGCGACCCGATTCAATCCCCAGCACGTTCAACAGCTCTCAGACGGCACTGAGAGTCTGCCATCTGTCTTGCAATTCTCAAAACGGCCCGCTTGTTTCAGAGAGAAAAGAAACCACCTCCCAAGTATTATTAGTACATATTTTCTTCAGAAGCACTCAAAAACTCTAAAGGGATTTTTTATATATATATATTTGAACCAAATCCAATTACTTTTCTGGGATCAGGCCTTGGAGGCACAGTCTTGCCAGAGTCGATGACCCAGAGCCTCTATGATGAGGCCGGAGAACATTCCCTTAAGATTCCAACGCAGCCTTCGGGCAGCACCAACGGAATCCAAGTGGCCCTGAGCGGACGTGGCGCTTCACCAAGGGTAACTGCGAACTCTTTCCCTGCAGTTACCTGCCCCGGCCACACAAAGCCACCAAGAGGGCAGGCGGCGATGCCGGCCTTGGTTTGGGAGCTACTGTAGTTGATAGGCATGTAACCTACCCTCCAGAAAAAGAGAAGTATTCCTCATTACACTCACAGAGGCGCAGTCTCATTTAAGCAGCTAAAATCACGCTGAGCGGAGCACTACGGCGGCTTCTGTCCGTCATGTTTTTATCCCCTCCCCCACCCCCAAAGGACTTGAGAAGACATCCATTAGCGTCCACTCCAACATGGGTCAAAAATAATAAAAATAGTGCTTTCACTTTCTCTCAGTGTCTTTATTCGCCTCCATTAGAGGCTACTCTCGGAAGATGAAGTATGCCTTCAGAAAGAAGTTGACCACGTCCTTACATAAATAATGAATTCTTATATTCCAACTCTTGCCTCTCAGGTACAGCTTGGCCCACCTAAGTGGTTAAAAAGCACATATAATTTGTGGTTAGCCTTTCTTGCCATTATTCCTCAGTAAATGTGCACTAAACAAACCTAACTGAAAGAAGTCTACCCACTGCAATGGCTCTCTAACTGTTACGGCTATTTCCTTTCTAATGTTTCGCGTAAGGCCTCACAGAAGCCCAATGGAAAGGCGGGGGTCAAACATTAACATCCCCACTTTACAAATAAGGAAACAGAACATTCATGTTTCAATATTTATATTTTTCCAGAGCCATTCGACGGGTGCCTTACACGTAGTACATCTCAAACCAATCCCTCGCCTGAGCTCCTAACGCTTTTTTCCTTCCTACCTCAGCTAACAAAAACACCAGCCCATCCACAGCCTCGCTTTCTACCACATCTTTGGCTCTTTAAATGCACCTCTCATCGCATGATCTGATTTCTATGACACATAAATAAAACCTAATCATGCTTACAATCCAAATCAATGTCTCTCCCAGATGTTGTTCTCAACAATCATCTTCCAAGGTGTCCAGTTCACTCAACTGCTTCCTGCCTGACCTCCGTCTCCATGCCCAGAATGAGGCCACCGGTTGGGAAATGAGACTGACCTCTGACCCTGTCCCCTGTAATCAGCTGTACCTTCTGCTCTGGCCAAGGCCGACTTCCACCAGCCACGGCTTTGCGGGATGCTCCCTGACCAAGCAAGCTCCCCTCTTCTGAAGTCAGAGTAAAGGGGGGGCTTGGCATCTGCCTTCATAATTTATATTCAAGACTGACCTCTTCCTGTCTTCCATTAAATGCCTATGGATCCTTCAGAATTCACTTAAAATATCACCTTATTTCTGAAGCCTATAAAAAAGTCATTTTTCTGTGTTCCCAAAGTATTGATCTTATATTGTCAAAAATTTCACATTGCATCGCAAGTATTTGTTTCCTCCACGTCAGGGTGGACTCCTCACAAGTAGGGACGATGAGTTATTTTCCTTATATATCTTGGCACAGTGCCTGACACAGAATAACCCCACAGTAAATGTTAATAACCAAAGAAGTGTAAGAGTGAGTGGTAAAGGGAACCACCTTCCTGCACTGAAAAACACCAAAAACTTTGTTCCATTCTGAGAACATCATGGGAAAGTAATGTTTCCAAATTTATTTTAATGGAAGTACATTTCCCTCTCTAACAAAGGTAAGATTCCTAACACTTGGACTATCAAGAAGGTAAAAATGGGCCTCCTTTGCACTCTCAGATGACGTGTCCTCTCTGTGATACAATCAGTTTTTATTTCGGAATGAGGTAGCTTAGGAGGGCTACTGTCCTTATTTGCATTCTCCTTAACACCTATTTTTAAAAGGAGAAAAAAATCATTT